GGGTGCCCGCGGGGGGCTCTGACCCACGGGGGGCTCTGACCCACGGGACCCCCCCCAGCACACACCCGGGTCCCCCGTCCCTGCCCCACGGGAGGAAAATTTGGATTCCTGTCCCTGAGCTCTTTTGGGAACGCCCCCGACCCACGCGGGTGCCGCTGTCGGTGCCGCTGTCGGTGTCGGTGCCGGTGTCGGTGTCGGTGTCGGTGCCGGTGTCGGTGCCGGTACCAGTGTCGGTGCCGGTGTCGGTGCCGCTGTCGCTGTCGGTGCCGGTGCCGGTGCCGGTGCCGGTACCAGTGTCGCTGTCGGTGCCGGTGCCGGTGCCGGTACCAGTGTCGCTGTCGGTGCCGGTGCCGGTGCCGGTGCCGGTACCAGTGTCGCTGTCGGTGCCGGTCCCCGCCGCTGCCGCCGTGCGGCCTCCGGCCACCGGGCGCCGCCGTCGCACGTCCGGGGCTGGACAGGGCGGGCCGGGGCGGGCCCGGGCAGCGGCGGCGGTGCGGGAGCAGCGGCAGGTCCGTGGGGACGGGAGGGCCCGCGGGGTCCCGGTTACCGGCGCTGGGAGGGAGCGGGTCCGCTCCGCGGTCGGTGCTGGGGGGTCCCGGTTACCGGGGCTGCGCGGGGGGCGGCTCCGTTCGGTGCGGAGCTGCGGGGTCCCGGGGTGGGGGGTACCCCCAGCTCACCCCGCCGTGCGGTCCCAGATGTCCCCCAAGTTCCAGCGACCGCGTCACCCCACAGCCCCTCCGTGTCCAGCCCCAGAGTGACCCTGGGGACACACCCAGGACGGGGACAGGGGGTGGACATTCTCCTGGGTGCCCGCCCCGCCATGGGGTCCCTGATGCCCCCCCAGCTCCAGACACCTCTTCACGTCTCCAGACCCCCCCATCCCGCCCCAAAGGGGCTCTGGGGACACCCCCAGGGCAGGGACAGGGGGTTGACATCGCCCTCGGTGCCCGCCCTGACCCAGTTTAGGATGGCCGGGCAGGCTCCCGTGCCCTCGTCCTGCGACTGTTTTGTGGCCCTGCCACCGCACACGGCGTCCCCCGCCGTCATCTTCGGCAAGAACGCCGATCGTCCCCGAGACGAGGTCCAGGAGATCGTCTATATCCCCGCTGCCACCCACCGTCCTGGGGACAAAGTCCAGGTGAGACCGCGCTGCGGCCAGAGCGGCTGTAGGGGTCAGTGCGTCAGGTCACCCCGGTGTGTGTCCCCAACCCTGGGCTGGGGTGGCTGCAGGGACAGGGCAGTGTGTGACAGGTGTCACCTCTGTGTCCCCCATCAGTGCACCCCCAGTGTGACAGGGTGGTTGCAGGGACAGAGCACTGAGCGTGCCAGGTGTCCCCACGGTGTCCCCACAGTGTCCCTGCCGTGTCCCCACCGTGTCCCCACCGTGTCTCTGCCATGTCCCCACCGTGTCCCCACGGTGTCCCCACCGTGTCCCCCCGTGTCCCCGCAGTGCACGTACCTGGAGATCGAGCAGGCGGAGCGCACTCACGCCGTGGTGCTGAGCCGCCCCGCCTGGCTCTGGGGTGCCGAGATGGGCGCCAACGACTGCGGCGTCTGCGTGGGCAACGAGGGCGTGTGGACCCGCGAGCCCCTGGGCGAGGGCGAGGCGCTGCTGGGCATGGACCTGGTGAGGTGAGGATGGCGAGGAGGATGAGGAGGGTGAAGATGGCGAGGAGGGTGAGGACGGACGGTGAGGAGGATGAGGAGGGTGAAGATGGCGAGGAGGGTGAGGAGGATGAGGAGGATGGTGAGAATGGTGAGGAGGGTGAGGATGATGAGGATGATGAGGATGGACGGTGAGGATGGTGAGGAGGGTGAGGATGGTGAGGATGATGAGGACGGATGGTGAGGATGGTGAGGATGGCGAGAATGGGGAGGATGCTGAGGATGCTGAGGATGCTGAGGATGAGGATGGATGGTGAGGATGGTGAGGATGGTGAGGATGTTGAGGACGGACGGTGAGGATGGTGAGAATGGTGAGAATGGTGAGGATGATGAGGACGGATGGTGAGGATGGTGAGGATGGCGAGAATGGTGAGGATGCTGAGGATGCTGAGGATGCTGAGGATGAGGATGGATGGTGAGAATGGTGAGGATGGTGAGAATGGTGAGGATGCTGAGGATGATGAGCATGGTGAGGATGGTGAGGATGCTGAGGATGCTGAGGATGAGGATGGACAGTGAGGAGGGTGAGGACAGCTGTCCCCGCTGTCCCAGCCCCTGGCGCTGTCTGACGGGCGCTGCCGGCGCAGGCTGGCTTTGGAGCGGGGCGGCTCTGCCCGGGAGGCGCTGGAGGTGATCACGGCTCTGCTGGAGCGCTACGGCCAAGGCGGGAGCTGCAAGGAGGAGCCGGTGCCCTTCGTGTACCACAACACCTTCCTGCTGGCCGACCGCACCGAGGCCTGGGTCCTGGAGACGGCCGGGCGCTACTGGGCGGCCCAGCGGATCCGCGGTGAGCGGGGACCGGGCGCGCTGGGAGCACGGGGTGACCCCGAGTGACCCCGGGTGACCCCGGGTGACCCCGGGTGACCCCGAGTGACCCCGGGTGACCCCGAGTGACCCCTCGGCCCCGGCTGGCACAGAGGGCAGCCGCAACATCTCCAACCAGCTGAGCATCGGCAGCGACATCACGGCGGAGCACGCGGGGCTGCGGGAGCGGGCGCGGAGCCAGGGCTGGTGGAGCGGGGATGGAGAGTTCAGCTTCGCGCGGGTGTTCTCCCTGGAGAAGCAGCCCCCGCGCATGGAGGCTGCCAAGGCGCGCTTCCAGGCCGGGAAGGAGCTGCTGCAGCAGCACGCAGGTGGGGACAGGGGTGGGACAGGGATGGGACAGGGATGGGACAGGGATGGGACAGGGGCGGGGCAGGGGGGGGGCAGGGGGGGG